TTGGTTGTAAATTCGTCCGTCCTTTAATCTATCAGATATTAACTTCAACTTGAGGTCAGGTACAGGACAATCCTTTAGTCTAGCTGATGCCATTCTAAAACATTTAGCATGTGTGTTGAATTCGTCAAGCATGTTCTGAATTCGGCTAACAGTTTCTTCAATAATATTCTGGTTGTTGCTGCATTAAAAAATTAGACACATGTCATGCACGATAATAACAAAGGAAATATAAAGTAGGCATCTCAGTTGGCTTAAGAAACATAACCCTATTCCTTGCATCCTATGATGAATCTCATTGTCAGTGTCGTATATATAAAGCTGAGCGAATTTCGGTTTTTCGCCATGCACAGGCATCATGCTACCAATTCTATGGCAAGCCTGCCCTTGAATTCTCATGTTAGGTGGTCCATTTCCATTATTGAATCTATTGTCAATTTTCATTCCAGGAGACGTAAATGCAAACATTATGTTGTACATTCTGCAATTCTGTTGATAATTTCTACACAGTTCATCGTTTTCATTCGACAGAAGATGTTTAAGAAATGGTGGGGGTGTTCTCAGAAGTGGCAACACAACTTTACCCTTTCCACAACATAATTGGAACTTAGGCACTGCACTATGTTTTCTCTTGACAACCTTCTCCTGATACCACATTTGTGCTCCACACTGAGTGCATTCAATGGAAGGATCACCAATATCTGAATCTCCTGTATTTGTCAGATAGAACAAAACATCATATATCTTATACACATCAGTATATTGAAAGACACCAAACTGGATGACAGTGAATTAAAGTTATGGTTTGCTATTAATAAATATTCCAGCAATACATACCAGCATTTGTGCAATCAATTGTTGGGACATTTGCAGATTGATCTTCGTCGTTGTCCAGACTTGAACTTGTATCATAATCCCGATCTTCATTTATGAATTCACACGAACTATCGGTTAAAGATTCATCGGATGAATAGTCTGCAACTGATTGTTGAACTGGGTTCACTGAGTCAGCACTTCTGAACAGATTGGTATTAAGGGAAGTTGACATCGTTTCTGTAACACTTGAAAAGGTTTTTAATAGATTCGCAGTCGTAGAACGAATTAGATTTGGATCAAGATGTTTGTTGGATGAAGATGCATAGGAATTCGGTAGTCCATATGAATTATTTTTGCATTTAATACTTGATGAGGAGGTAACGCCACTCAGAGGTGTGTTAGCATCAAACGGTAAAGGGGAACAAAAGGGCATTCTATCAGAGAGTTTGATCTGCAGATGACCACGATGGCTGTTGTTTTGGAGACTCTTACGCTTCATTATTGACCTCCTTCTTTGACGTGCTGAAGCAGAAATTTGTTTGGGAGAAATTGTATCAGTAGAAATGCATGAGAAGCTGGGGGAAGATGCAGGTGTTGGGGTTGTGCAATGGTTAAAACCAACACTTCTTCTCCTTTGTTGGGAATTAAGCATTAGGCACTCTGTTCATGCAGAAACATCTCCATGGCCATTGACAAAAACAGAACTGATATCAGACAGTGGCTGTCTTGTATGATGTCTGCTTACATAACTTGAATTATTTAGGACATGGTTGGGCTCAGTTGAATTTTCATTAACTCTATTCTTCTGATATCTTCTTTCATCAAGAACATGCTTCCTCTTTTGTCTTGCAAGTGATGCAGAGTATTTCCTATCTACAAAATGGTTGTTCATAGTTGAAAGAGAATATGGTTGATAACTTACAACTCTTCAAAAGTATAACATAATGAATGTAAGAGTAACAAACCTATATGGAATTGTTTGGTTTTGCAGTTCATAACATTTGTATTATAATTTTTAAGTGTACTCAGATACTCTATTTGTACATTGGATATGAGATAGGGTACAATATATGCTACCAAAGCTTAACAATTATGGGTAGAGGTTAAAAAATTTAATGTTACATAAATACCATATGTTGGCCAAACTTTAAACAATTATTAGAACACCAAATATTATAATATGACATTAAATACTGTTATGTTGGAAACACAAAATTGCCATTGGAAGCCAAAGGTTATTCCTATTGTATTCTATACCATATTCATTATTTTTTTTTGTAACATGTAACCATGGTTTGATGTAAATGTGAAAAATTAAAAGTACTTCCAAAAATATACATTTTCCAAGGGATATAAAATGGAATGATCAGAAACTGTTTGTATTCTACATGTCATGTATAGTGCCTTTTGAAACTAATGCTTGCTTGTTGGGCCAACAAAAGATATTTTCTAACGTCTGTTTTACTCCATCTCCCTGTCTCTTCGGTTTTCCATTACAAACAACATTCCAAGAAGACGGTACACCTTAAAAACAGAGTTTAGCTCCAGACAGCGCCGACCAACCTATATGATGAACAAAGAGGATCTACGTTGGTGTTCCCGCGGGTAAGTTCTTCCATTTTGACACACATGTTTCTAAACTTGCAATGAGGTCATTTAGGGTTTATACAAAGATGTCTGTGTGCATGATGGGCATGGATGAATTTATATGTAGGGGATTCGTAGGTAGCAGTGTTTCAACCACGACTCCTAATCTTAAATGGAAAAATCTGGCTATCCAAAAGGTTTGGAAGCAATTTGAGGATAAGCGGGACATAGAAGAAGAATGGAGAAAGTTGCATGCAGAGGCTAAGAGGAGGAAAGAGGAAGCTGAAAGTTCTTCAAGGTAAAACAGTAGTCTGGATAGTGAAAAAAACAAAAAACCGAATGCATGATGTTTGTTGTTTTTTTGATTAAGCAGCAGGAGTTGCCAAAAAATTACACGTGCTGAACTTATGGACAAATACTATGAGTATGTCGAAAGAGAGGAATCGTACGAACTCAGAACATGAAAGGTGAGAAGCTGTCTATCATGGGAAAAGTACTTTGAAATAGCCAGAGAGGAGGGATGGCTTACTGACATATCAGACGATGAGCCTGAACAGAATTCCACTGATGATGCAATGGAATCAGCGAGCGATGTGTTGGACAGGCAAGGGATTTTAGGTTACATATATACATTTGAATATTTGACTTTGCAAATTAGTAGTTGAAATAATCGTGTTTGTTAATGCAGCGAGGAGAACAACACTACTGATGCTGCTGATGATGTTCAACCACCTGCCATGCAAGAGAAACTTGTTTGCAGATGGCAGAAAGTTGTTAAGAGCAGCAGCCAGATAAAAAATCAAGTTCTTGTAAGCTCTTGAATTGTTTGCTGTTACAGTTCGTAAGGATGCATAACATTGAATGAATAGACATAGCTAATAAAGTTTTAATGTTGCAGCACTTTCCAGCAGCAGTCATCAAGGAAATCTTCATGGAACCAAGATCATATATTTATCTTCATGACACAGACTCGGGTATTACGTACCAATGTGTTTTCAAATCCAGGGAGAACATGACGGAGAAGTTTCTGTCAAGGGGCTGGTTAAAATTTGCAAAGGAGAAAGAGCTGTCGAAAGGTGACGTTCTCTTATTCAGTGTAGAGCATCCTCCTGTGGAACGTATATTGGTCAAAGTTGAGAGAGGGCAGCATTGAAAGGAGCTGTTGATTGGATTACATGGGAAGCATCATGGCAAAAAGGAGGGATTATTTTTGTATGGGCGGAAATGCATAACTATTTGTTTTGAAAATCTATTTGATGCCCATTTGTCTTTGTTATTAATTTTGTTATATGATATTGTTGGGCTACGGCTCAATGTACAATTTGCTTATGATATGTTAAATGGAATGATATGAAATTAGTTCCATATATTGCGTTGATAACATAATTGCATATCGTTTCCGGTATTATCCGTTAACAATTTATATTAATCAAGTGTCATGGATTTCTGCCATGCATAATCTGTTATTCAAGTTGGATTTTTATATATTAAAGTACAGTATGCTTATATTCTACCGTGAATTATGCATAAAGTATGCAAAACAAAATGACATATTTTCTAATGTCAGTAATGCATTGTAGTGAGAAGATAATGTTTTCATACTTTAACATTGTTAATTATATAATGTCATTAATAATCACTGTCAAAATTATGTAGTATTAGTTATGATTTGGTGGTAGCAACAAAGAGAAATGGGATATGATAGCTTCTTTGTGCTCTAACATTCTTGCCAATACATTATCCTCATTCTGTTCGGGATTGTAATCTCTAATAAAAAAGATAGCTCCATGAGCAAAAGCCCCTGTCATAATAAATCCTGCAATGTATTGATGATGAGTATATAACGCAGCTTGAGTAGTAAAGTCTTGTGCTATAAACGCATAAGCAGGTAAAGAGTGTTTTAGTAGGGATAACAAAAAAATAGTGAAACATAACCCACATATGCTATTAACATTAACTGATGCTGTTATATTCAAAATCTGTGTATGCATATACAGGTTCAAAAACTATTGGTTACATGTTGTTAATAAGACGCCACAGTCAAATATTTTGGAAAACCTCCTTGTAAATGATGTTTGTTGTAGGCCAAGGAGATTGGGAAGGGGACATATTCATTCTTGGAACATTGTCATTCTTTGACCATAATAAGTTTATTATATTAAACAAAATAAGGAATTACCAACATCATATTGCTTTTTGTACTGTAAATTATGCATAGTTTTTTGCAGCTTAAATGACTAAAATCATATCAGTCTTTCATATACAATGTCAAAAGGATCAAACAAAAAGCAAAAATGACAAATCAAATCCTCATAAACCAGAATATTAAACAAAATAAGGAATTACCAACATCATATTGCTTTTTGTACTGTAAATTATGCATAGTTTTTTGCAGCTTAAATGACTAAAATCATATCAGTCTTTCATATACAATGTCAAAAGGATCAAACAAAAAGCAAGAATGACAAATCAAATCCTCATAAACCAGAATAAACAAAATGTAAACCAGAAATATTTCATTACATCAATCAAAATTAGGTGTGCAATGTTGTCCAAAATAACATAAAGTAATAATAAATCGTCGACGATAATTGACTGCATCATTTCTCCAGCTTGATGTCCCTTATTATCTTGGTGGACGATAGTTGGGCACTGTCGAGTTCTTCAACTGTCTCAGGAATAGATCTTTTTGACGGTGTAAGTGCAGAGTTGGCAACTGAAGGGTCATAATCTGCAGTGATTGATATATGATCCTGCCATTAAAGAGTTATTACAAAATCAGTAGCATAAAAATGGAAGTAAGACATTGTTTAATAGGCTAATTTGTTAATGTTGAAAGCTAAAAAAAGACGCACTGAAACTGTTTGTGGATCAGCATGAGACTGTTTTTCCGAGGTGCTGATGGTCGGAGTACACTGCAAGTTAAAAAACGCAAGAAATAAACGTTAGACAATTGTTCCAAATGTGATGGCAAGAGTAATAGGTCATTCCTATTTAAAACATACCGATGCTGTATGCATATCATCCCGAGTGTCATCCGTTGAGACGACAATCTTAGAAGTGTGCTGCAAGTTTTAAACAATTATTAAAAAAATCCAATGCACATGATACTGTTTTTAACAACAGTAAAACATGAGTACAACAGTACCTCTACCTCTTCACATTTAAACATCTCCTTTATTTTGGTACGTAGCACTTCGTCTGCCTTAAATCCGATTACAGAAAGACTGGCCTTGTTTGGTTGAAACACTGCTCTTATAGCCAACTCCTTCTTCAGCATCACATCAAGTTCATAAGGGAATTCAAGGGGATCAAAATCTCCAGTCTAAATGATTAAAACAATATATGTTAGTTACATGGTAATTATCTAACTTACATATTAGACAAATGGAAAATACCTCCATCAAATCCAACTTCATCTGAAGGGCGGACTTCCCAATCAACTTTACACAATCTACATCCCAAAATACGAACTTGTATTTTAACTTTCCATCGGAGGCAAGCACTTCAAGCTTAAACCTGTACCATGCGTGATAAAAATAAGAAATTGTCAGTAATGAAGCGCTTGGTTATATGATGATAATCATTGATATGCAATACTTAGAAGTTACCTTGGGACTGGCTCAGAACTGATGTGTTTGGAATAACACATGAATTTTCCATCCTTCAAAGTCACACTTTTGGTACATTCACTACATCCATCATAATACCATCCTGACTGCCCACATTCAAACTTCTCCAGAGTTGCAACAGTCACACATGTAGTTTCCTGAAACAGAAAGATGGGATGATGTCTCAAAAAATGGATTAGAACCCAGTCTGTGTAATTCCTCAATCTAAGACAGTCATGTATTAAAGAGAAACGTACTGTCTGCAGATATGCAATATCAGACAGACTCAACACTTCAGCTTTCCATACAAATTTTTCCAAATCAGAAAAAACAGAGGTATTTGTGGTTTCCATTTTCATGCTTGAGGTGAGAGCGTCGGCAGATCATCTTTAAGTCTGATGATCATAGATCAGAATGAAAACAGGCTGTTAGAAATCATAGGTTGCTAATTCATAACTTCAGAATAAAATCACTTACTTCTCTTTAAGGTTTTTAACCTCCTCAATAGACAAATCATTGATGAGCAGTTTTGTGCCGTTCCAAGCATTTGATACATTTAAAGGATAATTTCCTGAAAATTGAGATATTTATAAATGACAACACTTAAAGTTGGATATAATAATTGGATGTAATAAGAAATAGTCACATAGCAAACCTTGAGGTTCCTTGATCCTTGCATTCATAAGTAGGAGAACAATACTACCATCAGCCTTATGAGTCGTATAATACTCATTCAGTTGCACAGCTAATTTACCCCAAAGAGTACATTGCACATGATGTTTGCTGATTCACAGGAATTTCAAAACAAACAACATGAACATCTTAAACTTTTATATTTGTCAGCATCAATGTTAACAAACAAAATGAAACACCTACCTCAGATCAGTTAATGAAAACACAACCTTGCTTTTGTTGTTATCAGGAATTATCTGGGCTTGGGATATTTCAGTAACCCCACCAATTATATCTGCACAAAAGTTCACCACAGACAGTTATGGATAACAGAAAAGTAACAATACAATGCGTTCTATTATAACAGTAAAAAGGTAACTCACCATATAACAAATTCGTTCTGTATTTACCCTCAATAATAGCATTTATTCCAATTAACTTGAGATGGTTCAGAGGTATCTCAGAAAGTTGGACCTTCTTGATGGAAGTTGAACCACAGAAAATCAATTTGAACTTATGATCAGTGGATTTGAAGGAGAAATCATTGCTGGAAACTTTGAAATTCTGCATTACGAAGGAACAACCAACTTCAAGCTGTGTTTTGAATTTTGATACCAAATAAGATGGCACAATGGCTGGAAAAAAATCCAACTGTGAAAATACAAACCTGCATTATGTAGGAACAACCAACTTCAACCTGTGTTTTGAATTTTGATACCAAATAAGATGGCACAATGGCTTGAATCAAATCCAACTGTGAAAATACAAACATCTTGAAATCAGTATCATATAACAGTACAGTTACAACAAAATAAGAATGCCAAAGCAGAAAAGTTTAGATTGTATTATACCTTTGAATCAAACAGAATAAGCTCTAAGTGCTCTCTATTCTGAGAACTGGTAACAGACCACATATGCTTACATCTAACAGCAACCTTCCACAAATCCTTCGAATCGTCAATGCTACTGATATACTCGATTGGGCGCGCCATCCTCACGCAGGATTTCGTAATAGCGCAGAGACAGCAAGGTGTTAAGCAATGGAAAACGACTCCTCACGTCTGCAGCAATGAAGAAAGAGTGAAAAACTGTTGAGGTTCCATTTGAATTTGAAAACTGATTAAGAGAGGCATAATGGTTTGGCATGGGGAAGAGGAAGATAGACATATTGAATTGCAACGAATTATGGTTTGGCATGGGGAAGAGGAAGAGAGGCATAATGGCATGGATTTATTTGGAAAAAAAAATTGAAAATGTGGTGAAAAATTGTGGGAGTGCCACATCAGATTCAAATGAATGTGGTGCAAGATAATTTTGAGTTTCCTAATTTACCCCAATACAATAGACCAAGAAAGCATTTTATCAGCTTTGGTGTTTTGGTAAAATCCAGGGACATTGATTTTTATAGATAGATAATAGATATTTTTGTAGATAAATTCTTGAACCTTTATGATGTGTTAGTAAGTTACATTTAATTAGATGGTTAGGTTTGATAAATAGTTTATAGCTTGGTACAAAGGTACTTAAGAACCTTACTACAACTTGTATTCTCAATGATTCAATAATGAATACATCATTTTCCAACGTTTTAATAACGAATATACATTCATTTTCCATTCTCGCATTCAATTATCATTCTGTAACATCCTTATGAAATTCACATTAGAATCATATTAAATTAGGGGGGTTTCTTAGTACACTTATATGGGTAAATTTTTGTTGTTGAAAACTCTAAAATACCTTTTGGATATGTATATTCGAAGGAATCTTAAATCAATTTTCAGGGGATTTTCAGATATGCATATTCGAAAATCTCTTGTTTACACATTATAATTTGTACAACATTCAATAATATTTTTAGATATTCATATCTGAACCACCTTTGTAATTATGAATCACAACTCTTCTTCATACAAACCTGGCATGAGATGCTATCATTTGCTCTTTATGACTACCATACTTTGACACGAACATCAATTGGGGCAACTCATTTCTCTTTGGTCTATGACATGGAAGCTATCCTGGTTGTTGAAGTTCAGATTCCTTCTGTAAGGATTATGAAAGAAGTAGATCTAGATGAAGACGAATAGATTCAGACAAAGTTGAATCAGCTGAATTTGATTGGCGAGAAGAGGCTGACTGCTGTCTGTCATGTTCAGATGTATCAGAAGTGCATGATCAAAGCTTTCAACAAAAAGATCAAGCATCGGGTATACCAGATTGGTGATTTGGTAATAAAGCGTTTCATTCTACCACAAGTCGATCCCAGGGGCAAATGGACTCCCACTTATGAAGGGCCATTTGTTGTTAAAAAAGTATTCTCGGGCGGCGCTATGATGTTAACCACTATGGATGACGAAAATTTCCCGCATCCTGTGAATGCGGACATAGTCAAAAAATACTACGCATAAGAATGACTCGCTTGTTTATAGGCAAATCATCAATACAAATGTACTTTAAAGTCCAAACTTTTTGTTTTTTCTGTTTCCTTGCAAAAACATCCAACGACTAAAATTGAATGAACATATGCATATGAACATGATTAACTGCTAACAAATATAGGCATAAGAACGGGAATAAACATTTACTCAAAAACTCTAGAAGCTGGGATGACATTCAAGCTGTCCATAAATCCCCATAGAGTCCCTTTCATAAGATTATCCCCAGTGAAGTCGTCAGAGCCACTTCTATGAAATTATCCCCCATAGAGTAGGCTTCACAAATAAAAGCACATTCCCCACAATCAACCCGACAAATCACTTTAACAATTAAGGAGCTTAAATCTCTTCAAATCTCCCCACGGAGTCTCAACCAGTACAATTTGTGGAAATTATCTTCCCCAGATAAGTCAGAAGTTTAATAATCTCTTTTATCCCCAATCAGGGTATATAAGAAATAAATTCCGCAATAGAGCAATAGACGACCAATGTTCTTGAAATCTGTTCTCCAAGTAGAGATCAACATCCCAAACGGAGTTTCCTCAAACAAGTAAGCAGGAATCTCCAGCGGAAGCATTCTAGACAAGATTGAAGATACACACACACTTTTCATCCCCCAACAATAAGTCAGGGATTTATTGTCCTCGACAAAGATACTCTTCAACAACATTATACATTCATACATCATAACATATGCATACGGAACGTATATAGCACAATCTCATTTATTTTGAGAACATCATTACGCAATACGTTTCATACATCATGACATTGCATACAACTAACTCTTTACCTTTTCAAGAAAGATCAATCAACAGATGAATATCATCAACAACTGTCAAAACAAATCATATGTCATTCCCTAAAACAAGACGAGGCAAATATCTATACGATGGATACTCCCTTCAAATATCTACTGGCTCAGATTAAATCAACCAAAGATTTATTCTGATACTTCTCTCAGTAGATCTTTTTCTGGCTCAGATTAGATCGACCAAAGATCTATTCTGATACTTCTCTCAATTAAAGATTTCCAAACATCTACTGGGTCAGATTAAATCGACCAAAGATTTATTCTGATACTTCTCTCAGTAGACATTTTTCTGGCTCAGATTAGATCGACCAAAGATCTATTCTGATACTTCTCTCAGTTAAAGACCTTCAAACATCTACTGGCTCAGATTAAATCGACCAAAGATTTATTCTGATACTTCTCTCAGTAGACCTTTTTCTGGCTGAGATCAGATCGACCAAAGATCTATTCTGATACTTCTCTCAGTTAAAGATTTTCAAGCATCTGTTGGCTCAGTTTAAATCGACCAAAGATTTATTCTGATACTTTTTTCAGTAGACCTTTTTCTCTCTCAGAATAGATCGACCAAAGATCTATTTTGATACTTCTCTTAGTTAAAGATTTTCAAGCATCTGTTGGCTTAGTTTAAATCGATCAAAGATTTATTCTGATACTTCTCTTAGTAAACCTTTTTCTGGCTCAGAGTAAATCGACCAAGATTTATTCTGATACTTCTTTCAGTTAAGGATTTTCAGAGACATCTACTGGTTTAGATTAAATCGACTAAAGATTTAATTTGATGCTTCTCTCAATAGACCTTTTCTAGTTCAGATTAAATCGACCAAAGATTTATTCTGATATTTCTTCAGATACAGTCAAGCGTAGACTCATTCTGATACTTCTATCAACGATTACCTCTGAATGACATCTTTAAGCCCATTCCCGACATAATCAACAAACAGTCTTACATCGTGCACAAGCGAGTGCAAATTTCTGGGCACTTAAGTGTTCAATCATCTTCTACCCTCAAGTCACGAATGGCGAACAAGCCAATCTAACTCTTCAGGTTTAAGAAGATTGAACAGGGATATCTGTTGTACCCTAAAATTTTACCTCTCTATTCTCAAGACATTTCTCACAAAAGATCTCAAATGTTCAAGAAGTTCCAAGAGTTTGATCAGATAAGCTCACCTCTTAAACACTGAGCCTCCAAATTAGGGTTTTGTTTTTCTCAAGGACAATTGGACTTTTTATGCCTCAAATGACTTTCATGGCTCATTATAGGTCTCTAATATTTCTCATACCAAGTTTCAAGTCTTGCACTACAAATTTGCTCAGTCAATTGCTCAGATGATTGAGAATCAATTGTATTGGGTAAAAATTCAAATGTGTTAAGTCAAACTTCATAATTTTTGGCCAACATCAACATTTTGAAGTCATATCCATCAATTGATCAATTGTTGATCACAATGCCTCAGGAAAAGGATTCAAATCATCAAAGGGGCAAAATGGTCAAAATTAGGGTTTTGACTAAGAATGACTGATCATTGACTTCTAACCTAGTACATGACCTAATGGCTTGAGTCATAATATCAAGGACTCAAACATAACATGTTGACCTAATTTTATGGCTCAAATCATTTCTCAAGATCATTGGATTGATAGTTGAAATTTGATCAACTAGTGAAAAGTCAAATGATACACAAAAAGTCAAACTTTGACTTTTTAGTCAACATTGAATTTCAAAGGTCAAGACTCATCAAGATACTAAAAAATATCATACTTGATCATCAAGAATCAATAAATTCAAGAAATTCCACAAAAAAGTCAAAGTTTTCAATACTTAGAAATTTTCCAAGTGTTTTTATACTTGATAAATTCATCACTTCATGACATTTTTTCACCAAGATGCAAGATGATTCAAGGGAAACTTTCAACATAAAAGTTGTAGATCTTGATGAATTCTACAACATTTTATTAGAGGGTTGATGTCCAAAAAATGCTTAGATTTGAAGATACAAGCCCATGAAGTCATGACATTTTTCATAAAACACTTAGTGAAAATTTTGGCAAGTTTAGGTAGATTTTATACCTAACTTCTTGGAAGACAGTGTCAAGAGAAGATTGGTACAGATGTTGCACAAATATGTTGAAGTCTTTGCTTGGTCATATAAATACATTCCGGAGCTCGATACTGACATCGTGGTTCATCGTCTACCAATGAGAGAAGGTTGTTCTTCGATCAAACAAAAGGGTCATCACATGTGCCCCAATATGTCTGAGAAGATCAAGGCTGAGGTAATGAAACAGTTCAATGCGGGTTTCTTGGCAGTGACGTCATATTCCCAATGGATTTCAAATGTTGTTCCAGTGCCAAAGAAAGACGGTAAGGTCCATATGTGTGTAGACTACAGGGATTTAAATAAGGCGAGCCCCAAAGACGACTTCCCACTACCGCATATTGATGTCTTAGTTAACAACACTGCTCAACACAAGGTGTTTTCCTTCATGGATGGCTTCTCGGGTTACAACCAAATCAAAATGGCGCCCGAAGACATGGAGACGACTACTTTTGTCATACAATGGGACACCTTTTGTTATAAAGTCACACCTTTTGGGATGAAGAATGCAGGCGCAACTTATCAACGAGCTATGGTGGCTTTATTTCATTACATGATTCATCATGAAATAGAAGTCTATGTGGATGACATGATAGCAAGATCCCAAACTGAAGCAGAGCACCTTGATCATATACACAAGC